TTTCTCCAGTTCTTTAAAGATGTTGCTCCACTATTTTGAGGCTCCCCTCTAAGTTTGTTTGGCCAGACCCTAGCAGCCTTTAATGTAGGCCTGACTATTTTTTTTTTTGGAACAACTGAGGAAATGCCCTTCTAAGTATGCTACCTGTGCCACGTGCAAGGTTTTTCTGCTTTGGTGGAAACTGTCCCCAGCCTTTTATGAGCCCTGGAAATTGACTCACACTTTTTTTTTTCCATTTATTTATATTGGTTGGAGGCTAATTACTTTACAGTATTGTAGTGGTTTTTGCCATACACTGACATGAATCAGCCATGGATTTACACGTGTTCCCCATCCCGATCCCCCCTCCCACCTCCCTCTCCATCCCATCCCTCTGGGTCTTCCCAGTGCACCAGCCCTGAGCACTTGTCTCATGCATCCAACCTGGGCTGGTGATCTGTTTCACTGTTAATAGTATACTTGTTTCAATGCTATTCTCTCAGAACATCCCACCCTCGCCTTCTCCCACAGAGTCCAAATTACTCAGCCGTTAAAAAGAATTCATTTCAATCAGTTCTAATGAGGTGGATGAAACTGGAGCCCATAATACAGAGTGAAGTAAGCCAGAAAGATAAAGACCGATACAGTATACTAACACATATATATGGAATTTTAAAAGATGGTAACAGTTTATTTCTGTGTATGGTGTTAGAAAGTGTTCTAGTTTCATTCTTTTACAGGTGGTTGACCAGTTTTCCCGGCACCACTTGTTAAAGAGGTTGTCTTTTTTCCATTGTATATCCTTGCCTCCTTTGTCAAAGATAAGGTGACCATAGGTTCGTGGATTTATCTCTGGGCTTTCTATTCTGTTCCATTGATCTATATTTCTGTCTTTGTGCCAGTACCATACTGTCTTGATGACTGTGGCTTTGTAGTAGAGTCTGAAGTCAGGCAGATTGATTCCTCCAGTTCCATTCTTCTTTCTCAGGATTACTTTGGCTATTCGAGGTTTTTTGTATTTCCATACAAATTGTGAAATTATTTGTTCTAGTTCTGTGAAAAATACCGTTGGTAGTTTGATAGGGATTGCATTGAATCTGTAGATTGCTTTGGGTAGTATAGCCATTTTGACAATATTGATTCTTCCAATCCATGAACACGGTATGTTTCTCCATCTGTTTGTGTCCTCTTTGATTTCTTTCATCAGTGTTTTATAGTTTTCTATGTATAGGTCTTTTGTTTCTTTAGGTAGATATACTCCTAAGTATTTTATTCTTTTGGTTGCAATGGTGAATGGTATTGTTTCCTTAATTTCTCTTTCTGTTTTCTCATTGTTAGTGTATAGGAATGCAAGAGATTTCTGTGTGTTAATTTTATATCCTGCAACTTTACTGTATTCGTTGATTATCTCTAGTAATTTTCTGGTAGAGTCTTTAGGATTTTCTATGTAGAGGATCATGTCATCTGCAAACAGAGAGAGTTTCACTTCTTCTTTTCCTATCTGGATTCCTTTTACTTCTTTTTCTGCTCTGGTTGCTGTGGCCAAAACTTCCAAAACTATGTTGAATAGTAGTGGTGAGAGTGGGCACCCTTGTCTTGTTCCTGATTTCAGGGGAAATGCTTTCAGTTTTTCACCATTGAGGGTGATGCTTGCTGTGGGTTTGTCATATATAGCTTTTATTATCTTGAGGTATGTTCCTTCTATTCCTGCTTTCTGGAGAGTTTTAATCATAAATGGATGTTGAATTTTATCAAAGGCTTTTTCTGCATCTATTGAGATAATTATATGGTTTTTATCTTTCAATTTGTTAATGTGGTGTATTACATTGATTGATTTGTGGATATTAAAGAATCCTTGCATTCCTGGGATAAAGCCCACTTGGTCATGATGTATGATTTTTTTAATATGTTGTTGGATTCTGTTTGCTAGAATTTTGTTAAGGATTTTTGCATCTATGTTCATCAGTGATATTGTCCTGTAGTTTTCTTTTTTTGTGGCATCTTTGTCTGGTTTTGGAATTAGGGTGATGGTGGCCTCATAGAATGAGTTTGGAAGTTTACCTTCTTCTGCAATTTTCTGGAAGAGTTTGAGTAAGATAGGTGTTAGCTCTTCTCTAAATTTTTGGTAGAATTCAGCTGTGAAGCCATCTTCTAACACCATACACAAAAATAAACTCAAAATGGATTAAAGATCTAAATGTAAGACCAGAAACTATAAAACTCCTAGAGGAGAACATAGGCAAAACACTCTCCGACATAAATCACAGCAGGATCCTCTATGACCCACATCCCAGAATTTTAGAAATAAAAGCAAAAATAAACAAATGGGACCTAATGAAACTTAAAAGCTTTTGCACAACAAAGGAAACTATAAGCAAGGTGAAAAGACAGCCCTCAGATTGGGAGAAAATAATAGCAAATGAAGCAACAGACAAAGGATTAATCTCAAAAATATACAAGCAACTCCTCCAGCTCAACTCCAGAAAAATAAATGACCCAATCAAAAAATGGGCCAAAGAACTGAACAGACATTTCTCCAAGGAAGACATACAGATGGCTAACAAACACATGAAAAGATGCTCAACATCACTCATTATCAGAGAAATGCAAATCAAAACCACAATGAGGTACCATTGCACACCAGTCAGGATGGCTGCTATCCAAAAGTCTACAAGCAATAAATGCTGGAGAGGGTGTGGAGAAAAGGGAACCCTCTTACACTGTTGGTGGGAATGCAAATTAGTACAGCCACTATGGAAAACAGTGTGGAGATTTCTTAAAAAGCTGGAAATAGAACTGCCATATGACCCAGCAATCCCATTTCTGGGCATACACCCCGAGGAAACCAGATCTGAAAGAGACACGTGTACCCCAATGTTCATCGCAGCACTGTTTGTAATAGCCAGGACATGGAAGCAACCTAGATGCCCATCAGCAGACCAATGGATGAGGAAGCTGTGGTACATATACACCATGGAATATTACTCAGCCATTAAAAAGAATTCATTTGAATCAGTTCTAATGAGATGGATGAAACTGGAGCCCATTATACAGAGCGAAGTAAGCCAGAAAGATAAAGACCATTACAGTATACTAACACATATATATGGAATTTAGAAAGATGGTAACGATAACCCTATGTGCAAAACAGAAAAAGAGACTCCTATGTATAGAACAGACTTGTGGACTCTGGGAGAAGGCGAGGGTGGGATGTTTCAAGAGAACAGCATTGAAACATGTATATTATCTAGGGTGAAACAGTTCACCAGCCCAGGTTGGGTGCATGAGACAAGTGCTCGGGCCTGGTGCACTGGGAAGACCCAGAGGGATTGGGTGGAGAGGGAGGTGGGAGGGGGGACCGGGATGGGGAATACATGTAAATCCATGGCTAATTCATTTCAATGTATGACAAAAACCACTGCAATGATGTAAAGAAATTAGCCTCCAACTAATAAAAATAAATGGGAAAAAAAAAAAAAAGGCCACAACCAGAAAAAAAAAAAAAAAGATGGTAACAATAACCCTATATGCAAAACAGAAAAAGAGACACAGATGTACAGAACAGACTTTTGTACTCACACTTTTTTTGTGTGTGGTTCGCTCCCTACTCTCAGATAAGTTCTTTTAAAGAATGTATTGGTTAGTATTCAGTTGGAGACACAGGAGAACACTAGTCTCCGTAAACTCCTGTTTCTTTTTGCTCAGTCTGGGATACTGCCAGGCTTTACTACATACCCACACCCAGCGCTTTACCCTGGAAAGTAAGTAAGCTTTTAAGTGAGACATTCATAACATTCACTTCCTTTGTTTTCCTTCTATCAAGGATTGCTCTCCTTCACAGCATAGCTGTCTGAAACCTATTTCATATTTTGCAGTTTTTAAAATCATTTAATGTGGGCAATTTACTCTAGCCCTTATTATTCCATTTTGGCCAGACGTGAGCATTCAGACGTTGTGTTCTTAGCTACAACATTAGAGTGTCTTTCACAAAAAACAAAGTGGAGCATAACGAAGTTTCCAAGACTGTCGTCTGGGATCAACTCTAAGATTTTTTGTCACTTGGTTTAATTTTTTCTTTCTTTCCCCCCATTCCACACATTCTCTGTAAGTTCCTTTGTATGAGAATTTTATCCTGTCACAGGGGGATGAGGAAATGTGGTAGTGACAGCTAGATGTCTTTCAATATCTGTTTTTCCTCCCCCCCCCCCCCACTGGTAAGAAAACACCTGTTAGTGAAATGTCATGTCCAATTTCTTGAAATATCCTTAAAATAAAGGGGAGCACCCTTCTTTGTTTTTTTCTCCTTCCTGCTAGTTGGAATTTGAAGTGATAGTTATAGTTTGAGCATCCATTTTGTACGCCGAGAAGGAGCCATGTGCTGTAATGGAAGAGCAAACTGGAGGATGTCTCAGTTCTAATAACATTGGGAAGCCACGTACCGCATAATTTGTTTATACCATTTTTGGGCAAATTTTTGTGGCAAAAGCAAAAATCAGCTTGTCTAATTTCAGCCATTGCTGTTCTGAATAGTCCATCATTTTTGACTGAGGCTCTCAAAAAGCCATATGTGAGAGAAGAGAATGACAAGGGGAAGGCATGTGTGTGTCTGAGTAACTTATTGGCTAAGGATTGTATTTTTTCATATACTTCACCCATGCCTTAAAGTTCTAAAGGTACTTCAAGACCACACTACAGTTTTAAAAGCACATTCGTATCTATTATCTAATTTGATATTTTTAACATCTATTAGTTGGCTAGGGCAGAGAATATGGTACCATTTCAGAGGTAAGAACTTTAAACATTGAATAGTGTAATGTGTGCAATAAACACTATACTAGTTCATGGGAAAGAGAGGGTGAAGCTCTATTCCTCGACACCAAATCCAGTGCATCTTCCTAGATAGAACTTTTGAAAGATGTATCTATTGATAGAATATTCTGTAGAATTGTGGGGTAGGAAATGTTTGAAGGAGCTCCTGGATTCTGACTATTTTATTTACCATTCCAGCAAAAGGGTGAACCATGGATAACATTGACAGGACTGAGACTGAGAATGAGGAGACAGGAAGATGGAAAAACTTTAATTCATGGATGAAACGCAAATTCAACTATGAATGCTATATGACTCTCCTTAATGGCTGCTACAGCTGCAAGTGGGAAGCCCAACAGAAGAAAGCTAGGCGACCACTCTGCTGCTGCTCTTTGGTACAGGGCGATGGGCGGGGGAGACGGATCACACTTTCTTTTGCCTCTAGAGAAGTGCTATAATTGTGTGTGTGTGTGTGTGTATGCCTACATGCATCATGTGTAATGGGTCAAAAATAACTTTATTTAGAAGGTGAAAGGTGATCAGAATTAGATAGCTAAAGAATAGAGAATGGCAGAAGAAATGGTATCAGAGGAGGGGTCAAAGGGCTTAGTATAAAGTGTATTTTAGGTAGAACAGATGATAAGAAGGGAGAAGTGATGCAAAGCGAAGCTAGAGATGGAGGCAGGACAGATGTGTGGTTTTAAGACTTTGATTTCTGCCATGTAAGCAGTAAAGAGTCCCTAGAGATTTTAAGATGTTGAGAAGCACAGTAGTGTGTTTAGTGAAAAATGAATTTCCATTGTTGAGTTTATGCATACATGGCAATAAACAGTAAGTGATCAGATGGAAAAAATGTTTTAACCAAATTATGAAGTGTCTTTATGTCAAACTGAAATATTAGAAATTTATCCTGATGACAGTGTGGAGGCTTTGAACATTTTTAAATGAATGGCAACAATAAAAATCAAAATAAGAAAATAGATTTATTCATCAGGTTTATTGAATGTATGCCACAGTGAATAAGACCATTAAGGCTTCTAACCCGCCTCCACGTCACAATCTAGTGGGATGAGTTAGGCAGTAAATGGTAATGAAGAAAGATGGTTTTGGCAAGAGAGAAGAGCTCTGAAGATAATCCATAGGAAAATGTATTAGGTGATGGGAACGTGGTTACAGAAGACTGCTTTGAGACAAAGTCATGTGAGCAGTCTGTTAAGAAGACGTGGGGGCCAGCCATGTATATGTATAGGGGCAACAATATTTCAGGCAGAGGAACCAAGAAATGTGAAACTCTTGAGGTAGGAACAGATTTGGTCATGTTCTAGAAACAGAAAGAAAACCAGTGTGGCTGGAGTTCAGAAATGGCATCAGTTGGTAGAATGAGTGGAGGTCAAGAATGGGCAAGGCTTGACTATGTAGAATCTTTGGGCCATGGCAGGTAGTTTAGATGATATTCTCATATAGTGGAAAGCTCTGGAAGAGTTGTGAACAGGGGATTGACTTTATCTGATACATGTTTTTAGAAGGGCACACAAGTTTTGTGTAGAGAGTATCAGTTCAGTTCAGTCACTCAGTCATGTCCGACTCTTTGCGACCCCATAGACTGCAGCACAACTGGTCTCCCTGTCCATCACCAGCTCCTGGAGTTTACTGAAACTCATGTCCATGGAGTTGGTGATGCCATCCAACCATCTCATCCTCTGTCGTCCCCTTCTCCTCCCGCCTTCAAACTTTCCCAGCATCGGGGTCTTTTCAAATGAGCCAGTTCTTCACATCAGGTGGCCAAAGTATTGGAGTTTCACCTTTAGCATCAGTCCTTCCAATGAATATTCAGGACTGATTTCCTTTAGGATGGACTGGTTGGGTCTCCTTGCAGTCCAAGGGCCTCTCAAGAGTCTTCTCCAAAAACCACAGTTCAAAATCATCAATTCTTCAGCTCTCAGCTTTCTTCATAGTCCAACTCTCACATTCATACATGACTACTGGAAAAACCATAGCTTTGACAGATGGACCTTTGTTGGCAAAGTAATGTCTGCTTTTTAATAGGCTTTCTAGGTTGGCCATAGCTTTTCTTCAAAGGAGCAAGTATCTTTTAATTTCATGGCTGCAGTCACCATCTGCAGTGATTTTGGAGCCCAAAAAGATAAAATCTCTCACTGTTTCCATTGTTACCCATCTATTTGCCATGAAGTGATGGGACCAGGTGATATGATCTTATTTTTTTCAGTGTTGAGTATTAAGCCAGCCTTTTCACTCTCCTCTTTCACCTTCATCTAGAGGCTCTTTAGTTCCTCTTTGCTTTCTGTCATAAGGGTGGTGTCGTTTGCATATCTGAAGTTTTCGATATTTCTCCCGTCAATCTTGGTTCCAGCTTGTGCTTCATCCAGCCCGGCATTTCGCATGATGTACTCTGCATTTAAGTTAAAAAAGCAGGGTGACAATATACAGGCTTGATGTACTGCATTCCCAATTTGGAACCAGTCCATTGTTCCATGTTTGGTTTTAACTGTTTTCCTGACCTGCATACAGGTCTCTCGAGGTGGGTGAAGTTGTCTGGTATTCCTAACACTTTAAGAATTTTCCACAGTTTCTTGTGATCCACACACTCAAAGGCTTTAGCATAGGCAATGAAGCAGAAGCAGATGTTTTTCAGGAACTCTCTTGCTTTTTTGATGATCCCACAGATTTTGACATTTTGACCTCTGGTTCCTCTGCCTTTTCTAAATCCAGCTTGAACATCTGGAAGTTCTCAGTTCGCATACTGTTGAAGCCTAGTTTGGAGAATTTTGAGTGTTGCTTTACTAGAGTGTGGAATGAGTGTAATTGTGCAGTAGTTTGAACATTCTTTGGGATTGCCTTTCTTTGGGATTGGAATGAAAACTGACCTTTTCCAGTCCTGTGGCCACTGCTGAGTTTTCCAGATTTGCTGGCATATTGGGTACAGCACTTTAACAGCATCCGGTTTTAGGATTTGAAATAGCTTAGCTGGAATTCTATCACCTCCACTAGCTTTGTTTGTAGTGATGTTTCCTAAGGCCCACTTGACTTCGTATTCCAGGATGTCTAGCTCTAGGTGAGTGATCACAGCATTGTGTTTATCTGGGTCATGAAGGTCTTTTTAGTGTAGTTCTTCTGTGTATTCTTGCCACCTGTTCTCTATATCTTCTGCTTCTTTTAGGTCCATCCCATTTCTATCCTTCGTTGTGCCTATCTTTACATGAAATATTCCCTTTGTATCTTTAATTTTCTTAATGAGACTCTAGTCTTTACCACTCTATTTTTTCTTCTATTTCTTTGCACTGATCACTTAGGAAGGCTTTCTTATCTCTCCTTGCTATTCTTTGGAACTCTGCATTCAGATGGGTATAGCTTTCCTTTTCTCCTTTGCCTTTCACTTCTCTTCTTTTCTCAGCTATTTGTAAGTTCTCCTCAGACAACCATTTTGTCTTTTTGCACTTCTTCTTCCTGGGGATGTTTTTGATAACTGCCTCCTCTACCTCCATCCATAGTTCTTCAGGCACTCTGAAGAACTACAGCCAGTCCCTCCCATCAGGAAGCTACCACAAGCCTCTTTTCCTCACCCATCAGAGGGTAGACAGAATGAAAACCACAATCCCAGAAAACTAACCAAGCAGATCACATGGGTCACAACATTTCTAACTCAATAAAACTATGAGCCATGCTGTGTAGGGCCATGCAAGACAGATGGGCCATGGTGGGGAGTTCTGACAAAGCGTCCACTGGAGAAGGGAATGGTAAACCACTTCAGCATTCTTGCCTTGAGAACCCCATAAACAGTAATTAAAAGGCAAAAATATATGACACTGAAAGATGAACTCCTAGGTTGTTAGGTGCCCAATATGCTACTGGAGAAGAGTGGAGAAAGCTCCAGAAGGAATTAAAAGACTGAGCCAAAGTGTAAATAACGCCCTGTTGTCGATGTGTCTGGTGGTGAAAATAAAGTCCGATGCTGTAAAGAACAATATTGCATAGGAACCTGGAGTGTTTGGTCCATTAATTAAGGTAAATTGGAAGTGCTCAAACAGGAGATGGCAAGAGTGAACATCAACATTTTAGGAATCAGTGAACTAAAATGGACTGGAATGGGCGAATTTAATTCAGATGACCATTATATCTACTACTGTAGGCAAGAATCCCTTAGAAGAAATGGAGTCACTCCCTCATAGTCAACAAAAGATTCCAAAATCCAGTACTTGGGTACAGGCTTAAAAATGACAGAATGACCTCTGTTTGTTTCCAAAGCAAACCATTCAGTATCTCACTAATCCAAGCCCATGCCCCAACCACTAATGCTGAAGAAGCTGAACAGTTCTATGTAGACCTACAAGGCCTAGAACTAACAGCAAAAAAAGATGTCCTTTTCATCATAGGGAGCTGGAATGCAAAAGTAGGAAGTCAGGAGATACCTGGAGTAACTGACAGGTTTGGCCTTGAAGTTCAAAATGAAGCAGGGCAAAGGCTAACAGTTTTGCCAAGAGAACACACATGTCATAGCAAACAGCCTCTTCCAACAACACAAGAGACGACTCTACACATGGACATCACCAGATGGTCAATACTGAAATCACATTGATTATATTCTTTGCAGCCAAAAATGGAGAAACTCTATACAGTCAGCAAAAACAATACCGGGAACTGACTGTAGTTCAGATCATGAACTCCTTATGGCAAAATTCAGACTAAAATTGAAGAAAGTAGGGAAAACCACTAAGTCATTAAGGTAGGACCTAAACCAAATCCCTTATGATTATAATGTTATAAATAGGCTTCTACAAAATTCCACAGGGGTAAAAGAATACAGTGGTCTCTCCAGCCTGAGGAGGGTAATGCTGCACTGTAACTATATAGACCTTTGGGGAGTGTAAACAGACGTTGCTGAGGTACCATTGATAAATGGAGCTAAATGAGGCCTCCTCCTTTCTCTTTCCAGAGAGAGCAATTATTTTACCCTTGGCTGGTTGTGTCGTTTTGCTTATCTACACTTTTACTTTTCACGTGGATAGAAACTTCAAATGAATACAATGGCTTTGACTGGTGAGTTTCACTTTTTGTATTTTCATTTGTGTAAGGGCTCTTTGGTCTAATAGTCACATGGATCTTACTTCAGACCGAAAGAATCTGGTGACATAAGAGGGAGGGTGGACAAAGTTGGATTTTTTGCATCTGGTGGATGGGGGGCCTGACTCTGGGGAGGAGTAAGGATGCTCAGCACCCTCAGCTACTGTACCTCCCTTCCCTGCTCACTCTCACTCTTAGACCAAATCTGGCTCAGCGGGAAGCTTTCTCTGAGCTTCCAGTGCCCCCCGCCTTCTATTCAGATGACTCCCTTGTTCCTCAGCCTCTTTTGCCTGCATTTACTGATGCCTACACCTACTGATGCCTACACCAGTTAGTCTTCATGATCTTGGTCCATGAACCCTGATGTCTGTGCCTCACCTCCAGCCTCTACTTCTCCCTTCTGTCCTCACTGGGTTCCCTAAGACTCTGGAGACAGAAACAGTGTCCCATCTCAGCACATTTGTAGCCCAGTTCCTACTCTGGACTGCTCCTAGTTCTTCCCATTTTTCTGGCCTGACTGATATATCATACCCATTAGTTGGTCTTTGAGGGAAAAGGGGGTATCTTGGAGTGTGAGGCTTTTAAAAAATGTAATATAGTTTATTTTTTCCTTCATAGAAGTAAAGTATGGTTTGTTATTTTAAATATTAAGAAATGTAGAAAAGTAGATAATATCGTCTTATTCTTGAGTAGCAATCACTTGGTATACTTCCTGGTCTTTTTCCCTATGCTTATTTTTATATTATGTTCATACCATATATATAATTTAAATTTTTTCTCTCATTTAAAATAGTTGTACACATTTTGACAAATTATTAAAACTCTTAATAATAATCACTTTAAATGGTTTTAAAGTATTTCCTGATATGAAGGTAGTGTAGTGTACTTACTTAACAGCTTTTTATTTATGGCTAATTTTCTGTTTTTATGAAATAAGAGTGAAGAGAAATCTTTGTATTCTGACTTACAGTCTTATAGGAAATTCCCACACGTGGCATTATTCAGTCAAGAAGAATAAACACTAGTAAAATTCATTGTGTCTGTTACCAAAGCATTTCTCAAAAGATAGTACAGTTTCCATTCACAATAGAAGTATTTGACTTTCTGTTTTAACCCTCCATTGACAGCATTGACTATTCTAATTTTGAATCATTTTTATTAATTTTATTAATTAAATTTGTTTTATTTTAATGATTTACCAGGTATCAAAACTTGTTTCTTTAGTAACTTTCCTTTTTAGTTCTCTCTGTTTGCATATATTTATCTTGTGGAATCTAATTTTCTCATTTATATGCATTCTTTATTTAGAGATAAGTTCTAAATTTTTCCACAATATTGGAACTAAGAAATGTTTCATTTCTTTATAAAATTTCCTTCAGTTTTAAAGAACTTTATATTGAGATATAATTGAAATATAATGTTACATTTCTGTTAAGTATATATTGTAGCATAATGATTTGCTATTTCCATGTACTGTGGAATGATCACCACAGTAAGTCTGGTTAACATTCTTCATCACACATAATTTCAGTTTTTGTGTGTGATGGGAATTTTTAAGAAACTTTCTCCTAGTAACTTTCAAATATACAATACTGTATTTTTGACTATAGTCACCATGCTGTATGCATTTTATCCCCAGAGCATGTTTATTTTATAGTTGGAAGTTAATACCTTTTTATCCATCTTCACTCATTTGTCCACCTCTCACCCCTGTCCTCTGGCAACCCCCAATCTGTTCTCTGTGTCTATGAGTTAGTTTGGTTGGTTTGTTTTTATCTTTCATGTATAAGTGAGGTCATATGGTATTTATCTTTTTCCATCTGACTGATTTCAGTTAGCATAGTGCTGTCAGGGTCTATCCATGTTGTCATAAATGACATTTTTCATTTTTTTATATTTCTGAATAATGCTCCCTTGTGGTATGTATGTGTAAGTGTATACCACGTTTTTAAAATTAAGTCATCAGTGGACACTAAGGTTGTTTTCATGTCTTGGCTATTGTGCATAGTGTTACAGAGGTTTTTAACTGATGGCCATACTGACTGGCCATGAGGTGATACCTCATTGTAGTTTTGAATTGCATTTTTCTAATAAATAGCAGTGTTGAGCATCTTTTCATGTGTTTGTTGGCCATCTCTATTTCTTCTTTGGAGAAATGTCTGTTTAGGTCTTCTGCCCACTTTTTGATTTCATTGCTTGTTTCCCATTAAGATGCATGAGTTGTTTATTTTGTAGATTAATCCCATGTCAGTCACATAATTTGCAAATATTTTCTCACATTCTGTGTGTTATCTTTTTATTTTGTTAATGGTTCCTTTGCTGTGCAAAAGATTTTGAGTTTAAGTAGGTTCCACTTATTTAATTTTTTCCCCCATTACTCTTTATTTATTTAAAGATCTCCACAGAGTTAAATGACTCATATCCACGTAACAAGAATAGAATATTTAAGTGCAAGCAGAGTAATGATCAAACAATGAAATAAAGGGAAAAAAACATGCAGGATAGACATAAAGTGTTAGTCATTCAGTCATGTCCGACTCTGCAACCCCATGGACTTCAACTTCTCTGTCCATGGAATTCTCTAAGCAAGAATACTAGAGTGGGTTGCCATTTCCTTCTCCAGGGGATCTTCCCAATCCAGGGATTTAACCCACGTCTCCTGCATTGCAGGCAAATTCTTTACTGTCTGACCCACCAGGGAATCCCCATAAGCAGTCTAAATGTAGCCAAGGAATTAATTAAATGGCTTATGCAAGTAGTGATACTGACTTTACTTTCCAGGTGAGAAAGAAAAGTTAATTTTAGCCTTTAATTGTGCCTCTATCTTTTCAAATCATTTCTCTAGTCACATCAGGTTTTTTCCCCTCCTTATCAACATAATGGTCTTCTTTTCTATATTCAGTCACACGTAAATATTCACACCTAAAAAAATTAGTAGAGTTCCAAATTCTCCCACCAAACTCAGGAGAAGGTCCCACCACAGGCTGAGTACTTCTGGCAAAGGAAGAACTGTGATCTTTTTCTCTCTTTTTCTCTCCCCTTCTTCTACTTTAGGTGATGGTGGTGGGGTAACACAAGGGAGTGAGAAGAATGAGAACAGTTTGCTTGGGTGACTGTTTATACACCAAATATAGATATTAATATAGTGACTTGCTGTTATATAAGAAAACATATATGGATAAGAAATCTGCTGAAATGGAAAGTAGTAACTATATGACAGCAGTGAACTTATGGATGACTTTTCCTTTTTTGACATTCCAGAATTTCTTTATTTTTTTTTAAAGAGTATGTAATTTTTGAGTATGTATTCTAAATAAATTTTAAAACCATACAACTCGTATAGAACCCCAATTAAAGTACCTGATTGTCTATGAATAAAGTTAAAACTTCTCAACTAAATATTCCCAAAGATCTTCACATATCTGTTTCCAAATTGCTCCTCTTATTATCCTCCTGTTTTTTTATGCCTCATCTAGTCCAGTCTCATACTGTATCCTTGAGAGAGATACTACCAACTTCTATGTTTTAGAAATTGAAACACATTTTTGCAGGGTTGTTTTCCTAGGTACAGGAATCTGGTTCTTTTGGTCCATTGTCTTGCTGAGTTTCCTTGGGATCCTGGCTGCCTACACAGCATTGCTACTGGTGAGTAACGTTTCCCTTTTCTCCCACTCCCTTCCTGAGTAGCCTCATGAGGTGCTCTGTTAGTAGTATGGTTCCCAATTGGTGTTGGGAGCCCTCAGATCATTCCTGGCAGAGTTCAGATTTGCATCAGCTACTTGAATATTAGGGAGGAAGGATAGATGTGGGGAATAGACTTGTGCTGGTAGAGGGTGTGTCTCTCCACTTTGACCCTTTGTAAGGGTGGCAGAACACTCTTTTTCTCTTCCTTTGTTTCATGGCTTATTTTCTGGCTCACATAGTATTGTCATTTTAGATGTTCACACCTTCACATGGCAGTACTTCTGCACATTGATCTACTGATTTCATAGCCTGTCTCCCAAGAAGCAGTCTTTCTGTGGCTTACAAATTATCTAGTATGCTAAACTTGTTTACTAGTCCTGTGCAAAAGCTAGTCCCCTGATCAGGTGCCAAGTACATTTTAGAAAATATCTTTATGCAATAGAGATGCTACCCATTTCCAGACACAGTAGTGTCATGTAGTGTGAGAAATTCACACTGGACATAGTAATGTCACATAGTATGAAAAAATTGAGACCAGACAGCAGAGGAGCCTGAAGAAGTGGAAAGCTTATGGAAGACTAACTTTTAGGCTACTGGAATTTTTCAGTGCCCACTTGAAAATAGGACATAAGTATCTTGCTCTGATTCCATGATTCCTTGTCCCCACTGACTGACTGACTGATACTAAAGAACCCAACCCCCAAATCAGTTGCCATTTGCATAAATATTTATCTCAGCAAAATGTATTAATCATTATATGAGTGATAAGTCTGATATTACAGAGAACAAAGAGGTGCAGTTTTTGTTTTCATACAGGGCACCTCAAATAGAGAGGTATCAGAAAGTTATAATACTCCTTAATTCAATGAGTTTAGAATCTAGTAGGGAAGTACGTCATAGACAAAAATAACCAACACAGACAAAGCATTATAATTGTCATTAGAGAGACCTAAAAAAAGTTCTGCCTGGGTTCTGAGAAGGAAGACCTTCAGTCAAGAGGATTAAGTGATGCTTCGAAGAAGAGGGGTCACAGGACGGGCATCTTGAAAGGATGTTGGATTTAGACATGTGTCTATGGGAGTGGGGAAGAAAGTCCAGATCATGGGCATTTCACGACAGAGTCAGCAAGACAGAGATAGAGATATATGGGGTTTGACTAGATAAGAGGGAAGAATCGTACCGTTAGCATGCAGGGGATATTGAAGAAAAATGGGGTATATGGCTAAAACAATAGCCTTGTGATAGATTTTAGAAAGCTTGAAAAGTATGCTAAGACACATGGTATAAATCAGATTTCTAGTTAGTATTATCATTCTGAAAATCATTGCATAGAGGGTGTCTGTAGACAGAAATAGAAAATTTTATGAGGAAAATGCCGATGAATGATGCGTTTGGGGCAAGAATCTGGTCACTGAATTGTACTGCACTTATACATGATCAAAATAAAATGGTTTAGGTAACTTCTAAGACGGACTTCCAGTGTCCAGTAAGCCATGCTTTTTTTTTTTTTTTTTAAACAGCCTTGTACCCTAGGCTTCCTCTTTTTGGCTATAGTGGCAACAACAGAGGAGACCTGAATTCTATTTCTGCTTTATCTTTAAATTATTTTGTAACCATGACCGAGTCATATAACTCTTCTGAGCCTCAGTTTTTTCTTTCAAATGAGATAGTTAATAAAATGACATTTTATAAGGCTTGGCTAAGTACAAATAAATGGCCTGGTGGCTCAATTGGTGAAGAATCTGCCTGCAATGCAGGAGGCCCAGATTTGATCCCTGGGTTGGAAACATCTGCTAGAGAAAGAAATAGCAAACCCACTCCAGTGTTCCTGCATGGAATAGACAGAGAAGCCTGATGGGCTACAGTCCATGAGGTCATAAGAATCAGGCATGACTTAGTGACTAAACCACCACCACCAAAGTACAAATAAAATCATATCCATAAAATTATGTTGAAAAAAAGGTGAATGCTTTATGCAGTCAAATTCTCAATATCCTAAACATCTGAAGGCTCCAGTTTTTAGTCTACATCTCCACACTGACTTGGTGATTACTTAGATTCAAATCTAATCTAGGTTTATTGACTAACAACAGTGCTTAACAGTTGGAACAAAAAAGTTTGTAAAAAATTATTTATTTGGTTGCCTTTGGGTCTTAGTTGCATCATTCACGATCTTTCATGGAGGTGCACGAACTCTCTAGTTGTAGTGTGTGGGCTAAGTTGCTTCTCTGTGTGTGGGATCTTAGTTCCCCTACCAGGGATCAAACACGTGCATAACAAGACTGGACGACCAAGGAAGTCCCAAAAAAGAGATTTTAAATGACCCTTGGAAGGACCCCTACCTCTGTTCCCTCACTAGTGTCTCTATGTAATACCAAGGATAAGCTCCATCCCAGGGAAAAGAAAATTGTAGGAACTCAGGAAGGACATCAGTGTACTGATTGTTACAGAATCCCAGAGAAGATAATAATAAATTCTCTCTGGGTTGCTGGTGAAAGTGACAACTAGGAGCTGACATGTGAACTGTGTTTGAAGGGTCAGTAGCTTGGTGAGGGAGAGCTATTTAGGCAGAGGGACAGTGTGGCAATCTCTTAGATGCTGAAAAGAGCAGGTGCAGCAAGAAGTGAAGATGATGCCAGACTGTGTAAGGAATTTTGAGTTCAGAACAGTGTTTTGGGTAGCATCTTGGTGATTTCAAAATAATCTGTTCTTTCTTCTTTGTTTTTTCAGATACTTGGATTTTTGTTGTGTTGGGAAAAAAATCAACTATACCTGCACTGGTATCATAAGGTAAGACATCTGAATCTTCATAGGAGACCTGAGATCAGGACTGCATGTGCCTCTTTGGCACTAAGTGTTAAATGCAGAAAGGGAAAAGCTCTGCATTTAACACTTCCCCTTTCTTTGCCTCCCTTAGAGAGGAGAAATCTGGCTACACTGTTTCAACTAAAATCATTCCGTTTCCAACAGATGGAACTGGCTTACCAACCAAGCTGAACCCAAACTATTTTTTCCCACTTCTTCATTTTAAATTCACTCTGTGACTCTGTTCTTCCTATCCCCATAAAATCTTGGGCAAGCTCCATTATTTTCCCGGTCCTTTACAGTCACAAGAAGTTTCTTATTTCAGTCATTAAGAATTTCAGTTCATTGTAGTAGACTGAACTCCAACTTTATGAGACTTTTCCCTTCTTCTGTTTCACATGACCCAGGCCTGGAAACCTGCAGTGATGGAAAGAGTATGATTGTCTTTTACCTTTATTCCAGTGTATCGATCAGGGGAAGGAGAGATAGGGTAAAAGAACACAGTCCCACAAGGAGGGGTTGGTTTCATCAGGACCATGTAGATGCAGTTTTTGGCTCTTAATCCTGTGGATTTTTCCTTGTGTATTTTCAAACACCTTACCACTGAGAACCTTGACTGCAGCTCTCGTGGTACACTCAATACATGTCTTCCTATACTCCCTGAAGTTTTTTGTTGAGGTCCTTTAACTGTCCTTTAGTTTGGAACCACTTAAAATTACACTAGAAGGGAAGTGGGTGGAATGAGTGGGGAGATTGGGATTGACATATGTACACTATTAATAGCTGTGTATAAGACAGATGACTAATGAGAACCTACTGTATAGCATAGGGAACTCTAATTAGTGCTCTCTTGTCACCTAAATGGGAAAGAAATCCAAAACGGAGGGGACATATGTCTACATACAGCTGATTAATTAGCTATAGAGAAGAAACTAACAGCATTGTGAAGCAACTATATTCTGATAAAACTTTTAAAAAATAACTAAATTAAAAAATAAAATTATACTAGCAGTAACAGAGGATCCATATCTGGTATGAAGAAGCAGGCATCACCTGAAGACATGCAGCTCATTTCCAACATTGCCTGCCTTGTCTGGTTCTGCCATGGGCTTGAGAATCTCCAGCACAGCCTCTTGCTATTTATAGACTTTTTCAGGCATGGTTTTGATAACATTCTTTGTGTTTTCTCCAATCAAGGAACATGTCAAACTCTGAGTGGTCTCCTTAAATTTCCTTTTACTCAAAAGGGAAGTATGAACTGAAAATATAAACTTAAGAGTTAGAATGAATGGAGGTTAAAGTCATAGGATCATACAGGGAAACAAGAAATTGAAGACTGAGCATATAGGCCTTACTGAGATTCCCACAGGTTTTGGAGTTGGGACACCATGAGCAGTTTGTCACTACTGAGAGTCCCTGTGGGGTAAACCATTCTGATTACCATTCCAGCCTTGTGTCTATTACAGAAACCATGCTTACCTTGCCCCTGGCAGTGAGTGCCGCCACTTGGCCTCTGCCACAGCAGAATCTCATCACTGCCTTTGAACTTAGGAAGCCAGTTTCTGTGGCAGCACCCCTCACCTTTATCCAGGCATAAAGCATGGCCACTGCAGTGCTTTTCAAGGATGCTGACACTCTCCTCACCAATGTGTTTCTAAGTGTCTTCTGAGACCTCCCATAGAGCCCAGTATGGAGCAGGTTAGCTTATCATAGGTGATATTAATATCATTCCAATAACCTTTTCTAAATAAATCATTGGATTTTTTTCTTCCACATTACACCAAGAAATTGCTGGCATCCTAATTTTATAAGGCATGGGCTACTATTGAGCCAAGGTTTCAGATAACCAAGCAATTAGAACCCCTTTGAGATGGATAATACCTGCTGCTGCTGCTGCTGCTGCTGCTGCTAAGTCGCTCCAGTCGTGTCCGACTCTGTGCGACCCCATAGACGGCAGCCCACCAGGCTTCTCTGTCCCTGGGATTCTCCAGGCAAGAACACTGGAGTGGGTTGCCATTTCCTTCTCCAATGCATGCATGCATGCTAAGTTGCTTCAGTCATGCCCGAGTCTGTGCAATGCTATGGACAGCAGCCCACCAGGCTCCTCCGTCCACGGGATTCTTTAGGCAAAAATACTGGAGTTATAATACCTAGATGCTGGTATATTGAATTCAGAATCTTTGATAAGTGTACACATATCAATAAATCCAGGCTGATTTAATATTACTTTATTTTCTCCTTGTCTAGCATCCTTAATATTACATTTTTCCCCCTCCTTGGCTAGCATCCTTTGAATTCATTCTGACACAAATTCTACAGGGTTTTGTTAAAATGCCTTCATCTCTTGAGGTATTGTGCGATCTAATTGCTGTTATGAATTCATAGCCAATGAAAAGTGGTGAAACTGGAGATGAGAAGAGTTGAAATACCCTTGTTAGATAACTAACTTGGTTAGGCCTTTAAACCTGTGACCTTTAAATCTTCCTGGCAGGGGAGTTTCTTTAGGGCTTGGAATTTTGGTGTGAAAAGAGTACACCTGGGTTGTCCCATATTGTCTCACCCTTGTTTCTTCTACATAGTACAAAAGTCTGTTGTTTACATCTGTGTTTCTTTTGCTGTCTTGCATATAGGGTCATCATTACCATCTTTCTAAATTCCATATATATGCTTTAATACACTGCATTGGTGTTTCTCTTTCTGGCTTACTTTACTCTGTATAATAGGCTCACGTTTCATCCACCTCATTAGAACTGACTCAAATACGTCATTTTTATAGTAATATTCCATTGTGTATATGTATAACTTCCTTATCCATTCATCTGCTGATGGACATCTAGGTTGCTTCCATGTCCTGGCTGTTGTAAACAGAGCTGCAGTGAACATTGTGGTGCCCGTGTCTCTCTCAGATCTGGTTAACTTGGTGTGCACGCCTAGCGGTGGGATTGCTGGGTCGTGTGGCAGTTCTTTTTCCAGTATTGGATGGGGTGAGGAGGGGGGTGGGAGGGGGTTTCAGGATAGTGGGGCACATGCACACCTATGGCTGATTCATGTCGATGTATGGCAAAAACCACAACACTATTGTAAAGTAATTACCTCCAATTAAAATAAATAAATAAAAGAAGAATAAATCTGGGAGGAAAGGATTAGTACCAGCCTAATAGTAGGCCTTCTGCCTAGGCATGTTCAGAGAGCAATGAATGATCTCAATCAAAACTCATTATAAAATAGCTAATAACCCCATCTCCTAATAAATGTACTAAAGAGATTTATTAGCCAAAATACAATGGAGAGTCCTTATCTATGAAAATTTCTATACAACAGGATTCTAACCTGTTGTATCTAGGTTGCTTGCAATAAATAAACCTAGAATTTATAGATTTGTAAGTGGGAGGCATTGCTGTCTGGAGTTGTATAGTTAACAGAATATGTGAGAAAAGGATCCACTGTAACTCAAAGATTCCTTCTGTGGAGAAAAGTTTCCACATACTTTGTTCAAAACACACCTCACATTTTAAGTCCCAGACCAGAATGTATCCTAATATAAGAGAGGAAAGACTTTTATATGAGTTCCTACATTTCACAGATTTCTCCAAGGAAAACTGTTTTATCTGTACCTTGCGTGTGTGCGTGCATGCGTGCTAAGTTGCTTAATGCCTTAAATCATTCGTAAAGCTTCGTGTTGAGTAAGATCACAGAATCACATGAGATTCATGTGAGTCTGATTTGTCTCTTAAAGTTTGTATTGTGACGCATTTGGTTTGCTGATAAGTTATTTAAGATTTTCACATCTATATGGATCTATATATAGAAGAGTTTGGACTGTAGTTTTTGTTTCCTGTAACATCCCTATTGAGTTTGAGTATCAGTGCTTTTGTTGGCTTCAAAAAACAAGTTAGATAAAATTCCCTCTTTATTCTCTGGAAGAGTTTGTTAAAGTTGAAATATTTCTTTCTTAAATGTTTGAAAAATTAATCATTGAAGGCAGCAAGACCTAGAGTTATTTTGTGAGTTATTTGAGATACAGAATCATGGAAAGGAGGAGACCAAGCACTGTCTAGGAGCTACACAGATGTAGAAAACTGTCTGTTTGAAGGGAAGAAGTTTAAATTATATCTTCTTGGCCTCATTGTTTACCTATGGCTAAGTATAGTTTTCTGGCCAGCAGGGTTTTTCATCTGTTAATATTTATAGAAAATTTACTTTGTGTCAGACATTCTAAAGACAGCAAATATATAATCATAAACTAGTATCATCCCTGATCTCATGAAGCTTATAGTCTATTTGGGGAAAACATATATTGAACAAAATACTGTTTACCTGAGATTGTATTGAGTCATATTAAAAAAAAAAAAAGCAGTGAATATTTGTAATGGCTATTTTTGAAACTGAATGAGACCTGCCAAGCAATGTTGAGGGCCAAACAGATGTGGAGATAATAAATCAGTAAAGGAATCAGACCACATAGCTGTGTAGGTTTTTTTCTTTTTTTTTTTTTTCAGCCATGCTGCATGAAGCAGCAAGGAAGGTAAATTATTAGATCCATGTACTGTTAAAGAATGGTTAGATTAAAAAGATGAGATAATGAAGTCCCTGAAATTGTGAGTACATATGGTTCCCAAGGACATTTCTGATTCAAGTTTAGTGCTTAGAAGTCAAGGTATTCTTTTTTTTTTCCCCTCAGATCCTGATTCTGATAGTGATTCTGTTTTGCTCATTTTTTCTCTGGATTTTATTAACTTACTGGAAAGACAGGTGGTTCACCATCGGGCTGTCGCTGCAGGTAAGCACCATCCTTAATTGTAGCCCTGTCTGTTCAGATGTGTTCAGGCTGACTTTTTAATTTTCTCCCAGGTTTTTGCTCCCTACATACACCTGGGCAGCATATCTGTGATGGTTTTGCTTTCGTGGCCTGTGGCCTTCTACTTGATTCATTTGGAAGGAGAAGGTATATCCTGTGGGGGGAACCTTTCCTGATTCTTCCAGCTCTGGCTTTAGCTAGTGTACTTCGCTCAGCCAAACAAGCTTGGTAGATACCCAGCACTGTAGCTTTTTGAAATTCATTTAGCTTGTTACTTAGGCATGCTCCTTCTGGTCAGGCTCACAACCCTACATGGACTGTCATAGCATTTCTCTGATCAAACATACCCTCTTCTAAAGAGGGATTCTCCTTCTAGAAAATGAGAATTTTCTCTCTGTTATTACAAATTAACTGCTTGGGAATAAATTGGAGTAGTTTTAGGGAGGGTAGAGGAGAGTTTAATATTTTTGAACAGTGATGGTACAAGTCAGTTCTTTTAGGTTGTATTCCAACACTACTACTTTAAACTTAAGAACCAGGTGAAGATATCCCCTGGATACATCTTAGTCCTTCAAAGCAGGCCCCGGTGAGTTCCTGTCACTTCTGAGGACTTCCACAGAAGCAGAAATGTCTCCTTCGGCCACTGTTCCCTCTGCATTCTTTGCCCTAATATCGTGGAAACAAAGAACCAGAGCTGTATGTGAAACTATTTTGAGAATGGAGTTATCTCTCAGCCCCCTTACTGAGAAACTCGGAGGGCTTTCTGTCTGTGTCTCTTTTTTACTGATGGTTAGATAGGGAGTACTTGTTTCCCGAGTTGTGCAAGAATGCAGGAAGGAGAAAAACTCAACTGATAGTATTGCTATTGAGTGTTTTTACATGTGGGTATGTGTACGTGGCCAGTGAATTTTAGGAAATTTTTTTGGGGAGCAAGAACTTAAAGGGGACAATAATGAATTCTTTTCTTTTTCATTTCCTGAATTTTAGCTAGAATGAGAAGATTCCAGATTACAAATATTGAAAGAGAAAGAAACAAGAGGTGTAACATGCGCACAAAATTGAGAGGTTAGAGCTGGCAGATCTAAATTTGAAAGTGACATAGGTGGTAATTTTTAAATGTTCAAATGGGTAAAATCCTCAGAGTAAAAATACTCTAAAACAGTAAGTGTTGGGGAGTGGCCAGTGATAAACAGGTATTATGGTCAGACAGTATGTGTGTGTGTGTCTCAAAGAGGGGTGGGAAGAGTGAAGTATCTATTATTTATTGAGGATCTGTGACAGGTCAACACTGTCATATCAATTATATGAGACAGATGTTAGTAGCAAAATAGCGCCATTATTCAGAATGAAGAAAATTAAGACCCAAAGAGGTTAAACAACATGTCTGAGTTACAAAATTAGAAAATAGTAAATTCTGGCTTTGAATGTGGATGTCTTTCAACTAGTGTCTCTTCCACTATCACTCACTGTCTTCAATATGGGGCATTTTAGGCTGACCTTTAAGGGCTTGAGGGCTTTCTCAGAACCAACCAAACTCCTCCTCCTTCTTAGAAGTTATTCCTTAACATTCCCTCTCCTTCCTGCCTCCTGTACAATTCATTCCCTTGTAAATTTGCATTTATAATAATTTCGACTTAATAATAAACTTTTATTTGAATAGTTCTTCACTTTCAAATCACTGAAAGAATACGGGGATGTGACAGAAATAGACAGTAAATCAGTGAGTCTACAGATGCAGTGAACCCATGTACTAAGTATTTACTTACTGTTCTTTTGCGGATAGTTACTGCTTAGGATGGTTCTCCATTCCTCTTTTACTTTTTGTCACTTTCTCCTTCCAACTTTTTCAGCTTTACAAGTGGCTATTGGGTTGCCCTTTGTTCTTATACTTTTGTGTCTCTATGTGGTGCCATTGGGGATTTATTCTCCCTGCGTTCAAGAGAAGGATAAATTAGGACCCAAGCCATACTTCTTCGGACATAGAGGTGCGGCCATGGTAGGTCTGAGCATGATGGATGTTGGTGAGTACAGGTGTGCGTGGGTGTGGAGGGCACATCAGATCCTTGGAACTGCCTGGAAAAGTAAAGGAGTTGACTTGAGATGACAAGAATAAGGAGTTAAATGTAGAGATTGGACTTGAACCCAGGTCACCTAATTCTCTGTCCATTTCTCTTTATTGTGTCTCAGTGACATTGCCTCAGATGAGCAGAGTCTCCAAATCAGATTTGAACAAAGAGCCAAGGGAGTCAAACTCTCTTCCTAAAGTCCTTTCTTACTGGGCCCCCTCCCTAACCTAAAAGGGATGTTGGCAGAAAAGACTGAGATTAAAGGCCTGATGTCGTTTTCTTCCACAGCTGGGGCCTGAGAATACCATGATGTCCTTTGAGAAAGCTGTTGAAAATGGGGCCCATGGACTGGAGAGTGATGTACAAATAAGGTAGGAAAGAAGGAACCAGGGTGGGAGGAGAAAAGACGAGTGGATGACTCCAGCCTGGCCCAAGCTGTAGAGAGGGCAAGCCCTGGGAGTTTCTCCCTTATTCACCTGGCACATCTGAACATAACACACATACATGGATCACTTCTCCTTTACAGACCATATCTGCACCCCTGCATTCTCAATCACAGGCTCATAAATCACACACTCTATAGTCTCCACACATAGCTCAAATTTGTCCTCCCTGCAAACATGCTTGCAGCTTACCTCCCTGCCCCAGCTTAGCAGTCTGTTTAACTAATATCTCCTCGGCGTCGCCTGTGTTCCTACTATATCCTTCTTTTGAGCGCTAGTGAGAGGCAGAGGAGTGAGACAGAGGCGTGCCCAAGAGCTGTTTGCAGCCAGTGAAGGGGACATGGCATGTTTACAAATAAACCCAGCATAGGACCATTCGTGGTGAGTGCCTTCCAGAGAAGAGTAAGGCAAATGCAGTAGAACCTCAGTGGAGGAGGAAGAGGCCACCTCCTCTTTTGAGAAAAATGATCTGTGTGCTCAGAACAGGGTTTGGGTTGAGCCTTGAAGGAAAAATAGTATTTTCCCAAGCAGAGATGGAGAACGAGGATATTCTGGGCAGAGGCAACAGCTTAGTTAAAGGCATCCAAAGGAGAAATAGCAAGTTTGTAGATCCATGAGCTAGACTGTATGGATGCCAAGAGTAATCCACTTCGGGAACACCAGGGGGCAAGGCTTACTGAGACTGGATCACAGAGATCCCTAAATGTGTACTGGGCAGCCATGGTAGGTTTTAGAGAACAGATTAGCTTATTGTTTTAGGGGACTTATCTGAGAATCTGTGAGGGAGAATTGTCATGGATTTGGGCAGTAGATGCTAGCAATGTCCAAGGGACAACACAGGAAGACTTGGATCATAGCAGGGACCAGGACATATCATATGCTTTTCTGTAGAATGTATGTACTTGGGCAGCCAAAAGTAGAGACAAACCATTGGATGGTTATGTTAGAGAATGTGGCATGTACTACTCCCTTCCCAGCCTTCTGTGAGGCAAACAGAAAAGAAATGAACATCCTGTTTCACAGTGAAGAACTGTCGTTTGAACCTGAATTCAAAGAGAGATGTATTGCTGAGGACTACAATGTACATGATAAAGCCAGAATTAGAACTAGATTTCCTGACCCCAGACTAGGGTTCTGACATTACCTAACAGTGATGTTACCCATCTGGTCCATGCAAGCTATTTGAATCAGATTGAAACTGGATATTCTTTCAGAGCTTCTAGGTTCATTGTGCAAGTGCCTCATGGTCATGACCTAATGTGGTCGTGGTGCTGAGACAATGCGCTCCCGGCACATTGACTTTCTCTCTTGTCTTGTGACTTCACCTTCAGTGTAGATGATCCTCCCAATCCTTTAGTTTCTCTGTGTGTTGATGTCTTCATTTCCAAAGTCTACTTCTACATACCTCCATCATATTGATGGTCATAGTTTACACTTCATCATTAATAAAAACTGCATGTCACTCATAGTCTAGTCAGAACAGGAATACCACAGCAGTACCTAGAACAGGAAAATGTAATATCAAGAATTACTAAGTAGTAAAAAGCTGTTAAGTAATAAAAGAGGAAATCAGGACTGTAGAAATGCAGAAGTAGCGGCTATTAGAACTTCTACACTTTCTACCCTGTTCTTTCCAAGATTTACAAACACATGAAAAAAAATTAAAAGTTGGAAAAAATTCACAAAACTTCTGACAGAAGACTCTGAAACGTGAAGTAATGAAGGTAGACTGGCTGGGTTCATAAGACTGAAGGAACTTCCTAGTATTAAAGCAAGTTTCCCTATTGGTAATTTTTGTTTTTTTCCTCATATATCCTGACGTGACCTCTGAAGAAATCTGTACAGAAACACCTACAGCTGCAGAGGGAAAAAAAAAAAGCCCCACAAAAATCTGCTTTTTCTAGCCAGAGAATTGACATTAGGGTCACCCAGCAGGCTATAGATGTTTTTACCATACCAGTCCTACTCAGGGGAACACCACAGAAAAACACTCTCCTCTGTCTCACAGCTTGAGGCTGTGACCCTGAAGGGAATGAGCAGACCCCTGTAATGACTTCTGCCTTTATGTCAGAAGTGGTACTCCTCTCTGGTCTCTGCCTACTTAAGGGTAGAGGGAGGATTACTGAGAGACGTTTTCTAGAGAAAGTGATTTTTTTCTGGTAAAATATATTTAGCATAAAAATTACCATGTTAACTATTGAAATTTTTTTTTTTAATTGGAGTGTATTTGGGCTTCCCAGGTGGTGCTAGTGGTAAAGAACCCACCTTCCAATGCAGGAGACTTAAGAGATTTTGGTTCAATCCCTGAGTTGGGAAGATGCCCTGGAGAAGGGCATGGCAACCCCACTCCAGTATTCTTGCCTAGAGAATTGCATGGACAGAGGAGGTTGGCAGGCTACGGTCTGCAGGGTTGCAGAGTCTTACATGTCTGAGACGACGGCACTCATAGTTGATTTGCAGTGCTGTGTTAGTTTCAGGTAAATCTGGTGTACATATACATATACCTACTCTTTTTATTGTTTAATCACTAAGTCATGTCTGACTCTTTTGTTACCCCATGGACTATAGCCCACCAGGCTCCTCTGTCCATGAGATTTCCCAGACAAGAATTCTGGAGTTGATTGCCATTTCCTTCTCTAGGGTATCTTCCTGACCCAGGGATCAAAGCCACATCTCTAGCTTTGCAGGCAGATTCTTTGCCACTGAGCCACCAGAGAAGCCCAATCTACTTTTTAGTGTCCAGTTTAATGGCATTCAGTATATTCACCTTGTTTTGCTACTGTCACCACCATCCATCTCTACAGCTTTTTCATCTCTCAAGCTGAAACTCTGTACCTATTCAATAATAGCTCCTTCATCTCCCCTCCACCCAAACCCTAACAACCACTATCCTATTTTTCTCTATAAATTTAACTATTTTAGTTATCTCATATAAGTATAATTGTTCAATATTATTTTATGTCTGACTCCTTTCACTGTGAAAGTGAGGGAAGTGAAAGTCGCTCAGTCGTCTCCGACTTTTTGCGACCCATGGACTATACAGTCCATGGAATTCTCCATGCCAGAATACTGGAGTGGGTAGCCTTTCTGTCCTCTAGGGGATCTTCCCAATCCAGGGATCAAACCCAGGTCTCCAGCATTGCAGGTGGATTCTTTACCAATTGAGCCAGAAGGGGAGCCCAAAGGGATGGAAGTGAAAGTCACTCAGTCGTCTCCGACTCTTTGTGACCCCGTGGACTGTACAGTCCATGGAATTCTCCAGGCCAGAATACTGGAGTGGGTAGCCTTTCCCTTCTCCAGGGGATCTTCCCAACCCAGGGATTTAACCCAGGTCTCCCACATTGCAGACAGATTCTTTACCAGCTGAGCTACTAGGGAAGCCCCATTTCACTTTGCCGAATGACAAGTTCATCTGTACTGTAAACAGATGACAGAGTTTCCTTCGTTTTAAAAAATTCTGTTAAAAAGCATATAAAACTGACCATCTTAAATGTCTTTAAGTATCCAGTTCAGTAATGTTAAGTATATACGCATTGCTATGAAGCAAATCTCTGGAACTTTTTTGACTTGCAGATCTGAAATCCTGTACCCATTAAACAACTTCCCTTTCCTTCTTCTTCAGTCCTGGATAACCACCATTGTGCTTTTTGTTTCTATGAATTTGACTATCTTAGATACCACATATAGGTGGAATCATACAGTATTTATCTTTCTGTGACTGTTTTATTTAATTTAGCATAATGTCCTCAAGGTTCATTCATGTTGTGGCATGCAACAGAATTTACATCCTTTTTTAGACTGAATAATATTCTAATGTATATATATGCCACATTTTGCTTATCCACTTATTTGCTGAAAACATTTGGTTTTCTTCCACCTGTTGGCTATTTTGAATAATGCTGCTATGAACATAAATGTACAACTATCTTTTAAAGAATCTTCTTTCAGTTCTTTTTAGTATATACCCCAAAGTGGAATTGCAGGATCACACAATACTTCTGTATTTAATTTTTGGAGGCACTGACATACTGGAGAAAGGAAGTCTAAAAACCTGTGTATAAAATCCTGTGCAGATCTTCATATAACATGTACGTGAAATCACACAGACATAACAGAGCAGAAGATGTAATAATTAAACATTGGTTTGGAATACCATCCATGTTTTAGACTGAACTCTGGGTAGTACATACAGACCAGAGAAGCACTGCAAAGCCTCTTTGAAAACCAAATTGTACTTTGAACCACAGCTTTTAAACATGAGCCAGGACATGTATTTTGAACCAAAATAGGTTAGTTCAGTTCAGTTCAGTTCAGTCGCTCAGTCGTGTCCGACTCTTTGCGACCCCATGAATCACAGCATGCCAGGCCTTCCTGTCCATCACCAGCTCCCAGAGTTTACTCAAACTCATGTCCATCGAGTCAGTGATGCCATCCAGCCATCTCATCCTCTGTTGTCCTCTTTACCTCCTGCCCCCAATCCCTCCCAGCATCAGGGTCTTTTCCAATGATTCAACTCTTCGCATGAGGTGGCCAAAGTATTGGAGTTTCAGCTTCAGCATCAGTCCTTCCAATGAACACCAAAGACTGATCTCCTTTAGAGTGGACTGGTTGGATCTCCTTGCAGTCCAAGGGGCTCTCAAGAGTCTTCTCCAACACCACATTCAAAAGCATCAATTTTTCGGCGCTCAGCTTTCTTCACCATCCAACTCTCACATCCATACATGATCACTGGAAAAACCATAGCCTTGACTAGACAGACCTTTGTTGGCAAAGTAATGTCTCTGCTTTTTAATATGCTATCTAGGTTGGTCATAACTTTCCTTCCAAGGAGTAAGCGTCTTTTAATTTCATGGCTGCAATCACCATCTGCAGTGATTTTGGAGCCCAGAAAAATAGTCAGCCACTGTTTCCACTGTTTCCCCATCTAT